ACACCAATGAAATGGTTAAATTTTTTTTAATGTTTATTTTTGTTTTTGAGAGAGAGGGGGAGAGAGAGAGAGAGAGAGAGAGAGAGAGAGAGAGAGAGAGAGAATGAGTGGGGTAGGGACAGAGAGAGAGGGAGACACAGAATCCATAGCAGGCTCCAGGCTCTGAGCTGTCAGCACAGAGCCCAATGTGGGGTTCAAACCCATGAATAGTGAGATCATGACAACTGACTAAGCCACCAGGTTTTTTTTTTTAAAGATAATTAGATCCAACTAGGAAACTGCCATATAAAGCATTAGATGCAGAATGCTCATGAAGAGCCCAGAATTACCACCACTAAGAACTACCTAAAAAACAATGACATCCCTTCTAACGCACACAAAAGATAAGCACAAACTTCATTGCCACAGTTCTCCCAGGAGGCATGTGGAAAGGTGGACCAGCTCTTCTGATGCCTGTTTTGCAGGCTTAGAAAGTTAAAAAGCCTCCAGTTCTTACATGCCTCATACTGTGGTGGTGGTGGTATGGGGTGGGGCTGTGATCTGAAGCCAGGCCTTAGAACTTTTCTTCCATTAACTACCCATATACCAGTGTGTTAAGATATGAACTGCATCAGGATGTCATATTGACTATTCAGCCCTTGGAATATGTTTGCATAGAAGATTATTTTTCTAGTCTTGCAAAAATTTGAGTGTTCCCTGAGCAAATTTCTAATGTGGCATCTTGGGGGAAAAAAGCATTACTTTCTGCTTGTACTATAAATTTCACTTTGTGAGTCATTTAGATTTTATGAATCTTCCTACCACTTCACACAAAACTTTATTAATGAAGAAAAAGAGGATTGGAATCATGCCCATGGTTTCTGACTCTTTTATTGGCCAATGATATCTGCAAAGCCACTTGCTATCATAAGTAACTAGAATCAGAACCCCTAATGCCCAGAATATCTCATCAGTCAACTTCGGACACAGTCCTCACAAAGCAATATAACCCAAGATGTGAGGTTGGACACACACTGGGGGCTATTGCTTGTCTTTGGTTCTTCACAAATTTATCAGAAACTCTATTCCTGAAGTCCTGGATGCAAACCACATCGTTTCCATTTAATGTGACAGATTGGCACTGATAGATGGTGTTGACATCACATGATATATTGAAACACCAGATTTCCTGCTGAGAAAATCCTGGGTAGGTTTGTAGGACCAAGTCAACTTAGTAGAAAATACTGTATTGACTTTTCATGTACTAAGGCTCTAGTTTCTGATTTCTTGAGTGCCTAGGGAAGCTTATTGCCATTGGAAATGAAAGCTTGATTGATTAGAACAGAGATGTGCCTTTTAAAAGATTGAATTGCTTGCCTTAAAGGATCAAATTCAACTCTCAAGAGGGAGACTGGCCTTATGATTCTTTTTTCTCCCTAGGCAGTTGTGATTCTTTTTTTTTTTTTTTTTCATGCCTTGAAACAGCAAATTGTGGAAGATCATTCTGTGTGGATAATCTTGTGTAAATTGTCCCTCAGGTGTAGGTCTAGAGATTATAATCTATGAGAAGAAAGCTAAAAAAAATCCACAAAATACAGGTAAAGCAGGAAATGTTTTCTCACTTCAAATGATGTCTGCAGGAGGGCATTCTCAGTGGGAGTGGACATTCAGTTATAAAGTTAAAAATTGAAGAGTACTTAACAATAGCTTCACAGCTTGTCCTGGACTGCTCCTGGACACATCACCCCTCTGTCTAACTATAACTATGACTTCAATCTGATTTAACTCAGTTTCCTTGTGTCTGATCAGCATGCTCACAAATGATGGGCATTCTCTACCCTTCCCTTGAAGCAGGTGTTAGCTAGTGATCTGGACCATTTCTATCTAGATGATGGTGACATCTGCGTTCGAGTCCCTTCTAAGTCAAGTTCTAAAAGTGAGTCCAAGGCAAAATAAAATCTTATCTTTTAATGGGACACAAGCAAACTGGATACTCAGAGATGTTCTAGGTAGGGAATTATGTTGATGCCCAACCTATTATAAATTGGCACTTGCATAATAGGGTCAACAATTTGGTAATTGATATGATTTTGGTTAGACAGAATCTGCACACATACACCGTTTGGGAAGTGTAGAGGAGTACATGAGAAGTACTCTTCTGGCCTTTATCTTCCACTGACCCAATTTCCCTGTCTGGTCACATCTGTTTTTACAAATTTCCTTGTTCTTCCAAAGATGGTATGTATCTACCATATGCAGATACACAGATTATATGTTATGTGTGCATATAATTTTTGTACAAATGGTTGTGTATTCTATACCTTATTTTTAAACCTAACATTATGATTTTGAAGCTGTGTCAATCTTTCTGTCTGCTGTATAGTATTCCATTTTGTGGTATAATTTATTGAATCAGTTGCCATTAATAAACTTTTAAATTGTTCCCAGGCTTTTGCTGTTACAAACAGCTGTGCAGTAGACATCTCTGTACATACCTCGTTCACATATATATGAATATATTTGGAAGATACATTTCTTAAAGTGGATTTGATGGATCTTATTTTTTGTCATAATTAATGATACACTTCTGTTTTTTTATTGACATTTTTATTTCTACATTTCACTATGTGGTCTGTGTTTTTTCTTGCTTTTTGCTGATTATATGAAAAATATAAATTTTTCTCTAGTGGTTTGTTTTAATAAGCATGTGGTATACTTTACTTAAGACCTCTATTTCTTTGATCAGCATTCTTTGACTCCTTACCATATTAATGGTGAAATCAGCAATTTCCACTTCTCCTTAGTACTCCTTCTAGTAGCTGATTTTGATTTTTATTACTCTATTATATTTGTATATTTTAAAAAGTTGTATTAGCTGGTTTGTCAGCTTTGCTGCCTGGCTGTGAAAGTTAAGGAAGTCTCTACCCTTACATTACCTTCCTTTTTTTTTTTTTTTTTTTTTCCTTTGAATTGTGCTATTTATATAATGTTTCCATTGTTAGGAAATCTCTATCTTGGATATTCAGGACTTCACTACGCTATGTCTTAGTGTTGACAATCTGATGTAACTTTGTATTCCCTTGAATAAGATGTGCCATTTAGGATTTAGAGTCCTCTCTCATTAATTCTGGATCCAATGAATGTGTCTTCTTTATTGATCATTTATCTACATTCCCTTCCAATTCTTGTTTATTGCCATTTCACTTTCTCACTCTTGTCATCCACTGTCCTTATGTGTTCTCAGCAGTGTCTATTCTCCTTGGTGCTGCTTCCAAAGGAAACCTCATATTTCCCTAAGGGCTTGTTTTTTCCACCTATTATTTCACTTTATCTTCCCTGGGCCCTCATAACCCAATGGAAAAATTCTTATTTCATCAATCAGTAGCTTCATTACCTTGTGAATTCTTGGTGATACATGGACTTGATGCTAATTTTTGCCTGGGCTGTAGTGCCACATTTCTGGCATATTTCTGATGCTTTTTAATTTGTCACCACACCACTGCTCCCTAGCCCCCATGCTCTGTCCCTTTCCATCTTTTCTCTTGTAGTATCTTTGTATACTACATCCCAGGATGATTCCATCTGGCTATCATTTCTCTTTAGGATGGGCATTCTGGACCAGCAATTGCAGGTGGTACCTAGGTGGGAGGAAGAGAACCTTGTAAGTCATAGGAAAGATCCTCCCAGCAGAGTCATGTACAAGAGTGAGCTCTTTCAGACTTCTTCATGCCCAACAGAGACTGGCAACACTGTGTGCCATGCACAGGCCTTCACCTCCATCTTGTCTGATGTATGGATGGGATAACTGTGATTGAGCATTCAGCTCTGCTTCTCATGTTTCTGGAAGACAGAGGAAAGGGGCAGTTATACCTTTATTCTGTCATTTAAATACTGGAAATCAATTGCTACTTTTTAATTGATATTTAATAATAGATAAAAGAACAATGGTCCTGAGGCAAAATGAGCCACCTCTGCTGCTTACTGGTTATGCAACTTTGGACAAGTCTTCAAAGCTCTCTGAGCCTGTATTTTGTTATCTGTTAAATAGAGACAGTAATAAAGCCTGTGTAGTTTGACTCATGGGGTTGATACGGAGAACAATGACAAAAAAGATGCGAAAGTACTTCAAATTGAATTCACTATATGTTAGGTGATGTCATGATTAATAATAATGTAATTATTTTGAAAAAAAGAAAATCACCAACTCCTTACGCCCATCTTAGTTAAAAATTTTGCAGGCCTCAGAAGGAGGGAGGTTCAAGAAAGTATTTCACTCACTCTGGATTATCTTTTTTTTCCAAGGGGACATTTCAAATTTTAAAAAGATGTGCCCTTCCAAGGAGTCATCTTAATTTTTAAAGAGCCCCAAATAAATCCCTTATAATTTTTATTATCCACTTTTATCACCCTTCTTTCCTTGCTACTGCAGCTTTAAAGTGAGCTGTCCATTATTTGTAGGAATCTTTTAAGTTGCAAAAATAAATGACCTTAGAACTCATCAACAGTATCTCCAAAAGTCAGCTTGAGGGAATACTCTAAAAATCTCCGAAAGAATTTTATGTCCTTGCTCTGGAATGATGTTCTCAGAAAGCCCCATTAACCAGAATCTGAGTCTGTTTCAGGTTTACTGGGTATTTGTCACCAAAGCAACTAATGAAGCATTTCTTACAGTCCCAGAACTCATTCATACTAGAAAACCTGACTCTCCTATTTTGGAAGAGCAAAACATATTGGCCCAAAATATTTATTGGTGGGTTTTAAAATTATCATTCATATCATATACTTCTTCAGTGAAGGTATTTCAAATATAGATCAAGAAAGTATGTCCCTTGTGTTTTAGAGGGTATATCACTAGATTCACAAGAACTGGAAAAGTGATTCTGTATTTCATTCACCTTATTTAACTTTATAAAAGCTATACATTTCAATAATCCGTCGTCAATCATTCAACAAATATTGAAGAATGCCAATTCTGTTTCTAGAGCTGTTATAGGTGAATGGGGATATAGAGATGACACCAATGACAGAACTGAACATTTATTTTGAATTTAGGATGTGCCAGCCATTGCATTAAGCATGTGTTATCACATCAAATGCTCAAAACATTCTCATGTATTAACTTCTGTTGTTGTAATACATAATTTTTTTTGGATTACAACAAGAAATATTGATTTCTGGCTCATATTATATTGAGGTTGGGGGTCAGCTGCAGCACTGCTGGTCTGTTTTGGGTCCTACATGTCTTCTCATTCTGAAAACCAGGTTAAAGCCACTTTCCGAGACAGCGAAAAGACTGATGGAAACTTGCAGTGCTTTTGAAATCATGTTTTCAGTCATGACAAACATCTCATTCATTCTGGTTCCTTTGGCCAAAGCAAATCACATAGCCACACCCAGAGCCAGTGGAGTGAACAAATGTACTCCATCTATTGAGAAGACTGGCAATGGCAGTGAGAAGACAAATAATTATGAATAATCATGCAGTCTGCCCCAATTTGTTCTTCTGCTCACAAGACGCTTTCACCTCTCCCCAATTTCCCAAAAATACCAGGCATTGGGCTCAGATGTCCAGAATCTGGTGAATATATATCATGTCTGCTGGCTGCTCTTCTTGATTCAGTGACCTATGAGTAAAGTGAAAAGATGTCAGTCCTCTTATTCTCCTAAACCCAATATAATACAATAGTGGAGTAGGGACACTTTATTAAAAAATTGGAAGAATGGGGGCACCTGCGTGGCTGAGTCAGTTGAGCATCCGACTCTTGATCTCAGCTCAGGTCATGATCTCACAGTTTGTGAGTTCAAACCCTTCATTGGGCTCTGCACTGACAGCGTGGAACCTGCTTGGAGTTCTCTCTCCCCCCTCTCTCTGCCCCCACCACTCTTGCTCTCTGTCTCTCTCTAAAAATAAATAATTATTTTTTTAAAAATTGGAAGAATTGGAGGTACATACCAGTCACTGGTGAATAACAGTTCTGATATTCCACTGAACAGAAGTTGCAAGTTCCTCTACACTAATGGTAGGGACTGTTCCTTGATTTGCTCCAGTGATATTTTCTGGGAGTCATTTCTTAGTCTGTGTTCTCCACGATGTTTGATTGGACAACTCTTCCTTTTCCGTTATCCTCCTTGGCCTTTTCTGAAGTGAGTATCAGAAAAGATGCCATTTGTGACTGACAGCCTATCTCAGATTGCTTCACACCTGTAGAAGACTAGGGACCCAAGAGTTATTTATGATTTGAATAGTTGTAGTCTCTTCTAATCCAGGCTGGGAGTACTTTGGCAACAGCTCTCTACAAAATTTCTTTTTTCTTTTTAATCAGTTTGATCCCAACAAGTTTCATGTGAGTCAATAACCATACCCATAACTTTTCAAGAAATACATTCATAGATACTTTGATCTTATCAAGCTTCAGATGGATGCACCTTTAGTGTCTTTTCCCTGAGCCATTTGTCTAACTGAGATCATTTACTAAGGCCATGTTAATCTAATCAGTAGACTTGACCAAGGGTGTGTTGGATCTGTGAACAATCTTTGTCTGAATTTTAGATTCTTTAACTTGTTAGAAATAAGAAAGTTTCAATTTTCAATCCTAAAAGTTCTGAAATTTCTGGATATTTGCAGCTCTGCTGGACTCTTCTTGGCAATGCTCCCTGTGTCTTCTCGTTCCCGAACCCAGGATGAAGAAGTAGCCACTACACGAGACTTGACGGTCTCAGGGTGGAGGTCAGAACACAAGAGCTCATCTAAAAACCTCTGCTCAGATAAGGCAAATGGTTCATCTATTTATGGCCCATCTCGGCAAGTCACAAGGCCCTCATATCCAATCAGTGGCATGAGGATGTCTACAGGGAAAACTGGAAAAGATGAAAAGGAAATGGATAATTGTGAACAAATGATACAAATCCATGCCTCATGAGGTAGATACTGCTATAACTCTCTTGATAGAGATGGAAATTGAGGCACAGAGAGCTTGAGGACCTCTCTTGGACCTTGTCCTCTCTCTTCTTAGTAGTAGAGCCAAGATTTCATCTTAGGGAGTCTAACTCCATGATGTTGAATCATTTTCTAGACTCTTCCTCTGGGAACTCTTATTTTTGTCGAACAATCTGTATCATCTTGTCTAAATTTTCAGCAGGCTCCAATGAAAACAATTTTCGTGGAAGACTCAAATACAGGAATAATAATGCTTTTTGTAAAAATGCTGTGACAGATTTCTTCAAGAAATAATTCATTAAATTGATGCCAATTGTAATTTGTGAGATCATAAAGCTCAATGCAGGAATACTGAAAACATGACAGTACTCTTAGGGCAGCATATTGAATAATTGGATCTCTTCAGAGAAGCTCTCAGCTCCCTCTCAGAATTGCTATGCTACACTCTCACCTAGACTCTGAGAATATAAAAACTTAAGGTATCAAATAGTGAAATGAGTTCAAATTCCTGAGCATTACACTCAGTTAAGGAAATATTTTGTGACAAATCTTAAAATATTTGTCATTATGAGCCCAAGTCTCTGGATTCAAAAGTTCTTTTAAAATAACATGGTCAGAAAACAGCAATTAAAGCCATATGTTACAAGCCTGTTGTAGCAAGAATTCCAAGAGAAGTGTTTTTGTCCTTGACCCCTCATCCTTTTCCTACTCTCATTTCTTCAGAACTGGCTCAGATTTTCCTGGAAGAAGAATTTTTTGTAAATTTCATTCAGGCTCATCTCCAGAGAGGCATGGAGATCAGACCTACTATAGACTGCAGGTCCCAAACACTCCCTAAATAAATATATTTATATACACATTAAACAAAATTAAAATAAAAGCAAGAATGGCCTTGAGGAAAGTCATAAAACACAGCTGACACCCTGAATGACATGTACAAGATAGGAGGAGCAAGGAGAGAAGTGATTTGGTTTTATGGAACTGGTTCTACTCTGCCTTATGGAGGTAGCCAATCAGGGCGGCAAGAATGAGGTAACCACTGCAAACCTATTGGCAATAAGTTAGTCAGAGGTAATCTGGGGCTAGACATATGCGCTGGGAGTCCTTCTGGAGAAAAGCGAGCCAGCACCATTGGCATTTATTCATACAGTGGAATATACCATGTGCAAGCAGCTAGTTTTTCCCTGAAAATTTCTTCACCCACTGAATTAGCATAGATTAACTACAGGATGGACGATATCCAACTCTTTGTAGCTTTAATGGCATAGAAAGTTTATTTTTCACTGGAATCATAGTCTATTTGGTGGTGGCCTCCCATGCATCAACTCTGGCACATCCCCCCCATCCTTCCATCTTGTGACTCTGCCATCTTTGGAGTCCCAGAGTTCTCCACCAGAGGTTTCTGGTAGTGGCGTCTTTTGCATTTGCCCACGTGTCATAGAACTCAGTCACATGGCTCCACATAACTGTATGGGACAGTGTGCAATTCAGTTTTCCTGGAAGACTAAGAAGCAGGTGTATGAGTTTGAAGAATGTATTACCAAGCCTTGTAGAGAGGAAACCCCTACGGGTAAGAATTGAGTGATGTCTACTTACCGCGAAGAAGAATGCAACTGTTAAGTCAGAGGAGTTCTCTGCTCTTTGGTAAAAGAAATTTTGAGCCCTTGGCATCTGGTACAGAGCTCTTCACGGTTCAGTTCCAACCTACCTAGTTTCACCTCTTGCTGCTCACTGCCCAGCCTCCACCTTCCCTACCACATGCATGTAACACTCCTACCAGATCAGACTAGTGGCTATTCTTTGAATGTGTCACATATCTTCACACCTTTGGGCATTTGCAAATGTTTCCTGTTTGAAACACCAACTCACCCTACACATAAGAACAAGCTCAGACAGCTATTTTTCTATGAGACTTTCCTTGAACTCCCTCCTGCAGGCCCAATTAATTACCACCTTCCTAACACTCCCAAAATATCCTATATATTACTTTACCATAACTTACTATGTTGCATCTTTCTTATTTGCTTGCCTACATGTCTTTTCCCTGTGCTGTAAAATGATAACTGAGTGAATCTACACCTGGGAGTCCTGAAGGCTGTCACTGTCTCACTGAAGAAACTCTTAGTGAACATAAGAATCAAACCATAAAAGACTCTTAAATACAGAGAACAGAGCCGGGGTTGCTGGAGAGGAAGTGAGGAAGGATGGGCTAGATGGGTGATGGACACTTAGGAGGGCACTTCTGGGGAAGAACACTGGGTATCATATGTAAGAGATGAATCACTGGGTTTTTCTCCTGAAACCAGGACTGCACTGTATGTTAGCTAACTTGAATTTAAATAGAAAAAAAAAAGAAAAGTAAACAAAGTCATATGAAAATAGAAATGAAAAGAACTTACCTTTATGCTAAATGGATAGATATGACATACCTGATATTATTCTGCATTTTTAAAGATGTACATGTCAAGCTATATGAATAAATTGAGAACTCTTCTTAAAAAAAAAAAAAAAAAAAGGAATCAGCCAAAATTTGGAATCAATAAAAAGACTGAGTTTTATTGAAGAAAAGTTGTAAGCTGTTTGGAAATGTGTTCTAGATGCATTATTCATCTCTGGAGAAATATAAAAACTAAAAGTGTAAGTAATGCATTTCTGAGGCCAAGATAATCATGATGTTGTGTTCTTTGCACTGCTCACCACAGTGCTGGTTCAGGTGCATGGAAAAGAATAAAACCGAGCTCAGGGAGAGCCTCTGATGAAATGCAATCTCCACAAATTTTCATGGAGGAAGCCTCAAGTTTTGGAGAAGTGCAGAAAAGAAATAAGCTTATATTAACATTTCATTGCATGATCCCTGCAAAGGGTGCCCTTCCATGGGGGACTGTTCAAAGCTCTGAGCTGAGCCCTGCTGAGACTTACTCGGAATCCTTCTTTCCCAATAAATAGGCCTGAATTTCCACCTTACCAAAGTCAACACAGACAGCTAGAGTTCAAAAGAAAACTTTCCATTACCATAACGGATTGTAATAAAAAGCATTGGCTGAGCCTCTTCCTCTCTCTTTATCTTGGCATTTATGACTTTAGGTTTAGTAACTTTCAGGGTAAAATGAGTTCACTCCTTATTCAGATTTTTTTTTTTTTTATTTTTTGCACTCCTCATTTCATGTGGTTGTATTTATACAAGCTCACAACCTCTCTCCTGGCTCTGATTCCTCAATGCCTCAGGCCAGACCTTCTAAGACAGACTTTCCCAGCAGTCAATGCCGTGGTTATTGCTCCCAGTTCGGTTAAAAATAGACCTTGTACTGCTGCTTCAATCCTTAAAGAATAAGAGGTGAGGTCATTTTCTGCTTGGAGAGTGGATCCAGACTGAGTGATTGGCACTAGCACATTCAATTGCAGAAGAAACAGGTGTTAAAGTGACTTCTCCCATCCTATTAAATATCCTTTTCACCCATTGATTCACAGACATGTTTCCATTCTCATGACTGAATAGGCAACGCTGTAATTTGTCCGCTCCATCCATTTTTTCCTACCCCTTGGCATCAGAATCTGCCTAGTCTATTGTCTCCCTAAGTTTCTGCCCAAGGTGAGTGCTAGAGGGATGATCTTATGAAATTAAGCAGCGAAAAGCAACAGGCATGTAATTTGCCAGGGCTAGCAGGCAATTGGTAATGGGCTTCCTCCTACTGCTTTTCATAAGCTTTCTGACAATAGCTCTAAGTTACTAAAACTTCAAGCCACAGAAATGACTCCTCCACCAAACTGGGGACAAGGCAGGGGCATGTATAGAAAGAGAGAGAATTCTTAAATGAAAGTACCAAACACTAGAAATAAGGAAAGTATCAATTAGACTTCTTTCAAGTCTTTCAGCTATTGTATAACATATTACACATAGGATGTGTGGAAACCAACAAAACATGCTTACACTTGAGCAGGCTAGTTGTTTGCAAACCTCCTACTACAAAAATCAGGGTTAAGAAGACAACTTTAGCTGTAAGTCCCAAAACTGGGCAAATGAGGACAGAATAAAAAAAAAAAAGGTAAATTTTAAAGAAAACTGTGTCCTGATGCCAGTTTCAATATTGAACATATCCCTGACTTTGAACAAATTACTTCATTACTTGAGACCTCAGTTTCTTCATGTGCAAATTGAGGAAGTAAAATTAGGTGATCTCCAAGGTCACTTCTGGCTTTAATGT